CGTCACACACGAACATCCACACACACACAGGCACACACACACACAGACACACACAAACACACACACAGCAAACACACACCAACCACACAAACTAACCTCCTGCAGTAACACAACATTGAGAGGTGAGGGATCCACGGACAAAATCTTGGCCGTGCCAGCGTAATCGATGTTTTCAGGGATCTGCTTCACGATGTTGGCCGACAGTTCTAGCACCTGGGAAAGGAAAGGGAAAAGGATTGTTCATAACATTCTTCACTACACACACATATATATATATATATATATATATATATATATATATATATGAAGAGAGGTTTTCCAAAACTCGGTAAGTCAATTTTCACAAGTGCCTGGCTTCACCACGACGCCACACACATGCTTAATCTAAAACAGCCATATTATGCACCGATCACAGCCGAAAGCTCCGTATCCCGGACTCTAGCGTTATTAAAATCTAAATCATTATATACTCATGTGCACATAATAATACATAAATGGGTCATTTGTATATTATAGACGTGTGAAGCATTGTGGTGAAATCAGATGCTTGTCAGACTTGACTACTGAGTTTTGAAAAAGCACGCTTCCTATGTGAGACAGCGTGGTGAAATCAGGCGCTCACCAAAATACAGAAATGGGAGAGACAAGGCATTTTTCCGCCAGTTTTGACATTTCTATCAAATTTTTATTTTTGGCTCAACCTCTGTTATGTCCATATAAGAACACATTTCCATATGAATTTTACTGAAAAACATTGATTAACTCATTCGCTACGCATTACTTTCAGCTTGTGGACGAATTTTTTTTGGGAGAGTGAAATGAGACGGTGACTAGTGCACAGTCCACAGGTCTTTGGGGATTTTACTGAAAATAAGCGAAGATAAAGGTACAAACAATGTAAATTTTCAGTTTCCAAGGACTCTCAAGCTATGGAAATCATCAAACTTTGGCAGCTATTGTTTCATTAACTTTACCTCTAAAACTAGACGACCCTCAGCTTGTTCAGTTGCAAATACCTCGACTTCTATTCAGGATAGATGGGCGGGGGTTTTTTTTCATCAAAAGATAGACAAATGAACAAGGTATCAATAATTCCACAGGCCCAAAAATTGACAAACGCCTGATTCCACCGCATTGTGACTCATATAATTCTGGTAACTGGTCTCTCAAAACACCATCTTTAACTCGTCGTATTTATGGCACACAGTTCCGACACAACCCTCCAGCATGGACAGTTTTTAGTCTCAGTCAAAAAAAAACAACAGCCAGCCTAAGTCCTTTTTGTTGTTGCTGTTTCGAGAAATCAAAGTCAGCTTGAGCAAAAGCTAAGAACCTCACTATTTTGTTTGTTTTACTAGAGGTTTTACGGCGCTCGCAACTGCATAAGGTCATATGAGCACCAAGGGGTGGATGTCAAACGGAGAAGTCCTTTCAGGGAATCAGACTTACTCTGCTCACCTCTTTAGCTTCAACAGGACAAAGTCTGCTTCGACTATCAAGGCACCCCGGAAATAGCAGGTCACAAGAGTGTGACAAACGTACAAAAAAGTAGAGGACAAATGACAATAGTAAGGATAGCCCATTTACAATTACAATTCTACTGCGCATATTTACTCGAGATGTTAATGTCCCCCTCTTTGGGAATGGCCTAAAGACACTTCAGTTAGTAGCACCGCCCCGGGTGGTGAAGCTAAACACCTCACTGTTTGGATTTATAGTGTACAAAACAAAACCCTGCTGTGTATAGGATACAAAACAAGCAACAGACATGTTTTGTTTTGTTCGTTTTTGCAAGTGTTTTACGGCGTTCACAACTGCATAAGGTCATATGAGCGTGCGGGACACATTAAACTTTTTCACTCAATCAATATTTTTAAACATGAAAAAAAAAATGGCTGAGGCAAATTTGTTGTGACCTTGATGTAATGGTTTGTGACCTTGCTGTTATGACCAGTGACCTTGATGTTATAGTTTTTTGACATTGCTGTAATGGTCAGTGACCTTGACGTATTAGTTTGTGACCTTGATGTAATGGTCAGTAACAAGGAAATTAATTGCCCTCACCTTGTCCTCTCTGCTCTCCCCTCCTGAGCTGGAGACCTGCGGCTGTAGAGAGAGCAGCGTGTCAAAGAGCAGACGCGTCTCCTGAATCTGAGACGTGATGTCAGCGTTCGGGTGTTGACCAAATGCCTCTGTGGATAAACAAAAAAAAGATCATAGTGAGACTTTGATTACTGAAACACCCCCCCTACCCCGCAAAAAAAAAACCCCAAAGAAAAAAACGATTAAATCAGAGAGAGAGAGGGAGATGCTTGATAAAATCTTCGTCTAGTTCTAGCAGAGATTTTACGGCGCTTGCAACTGCATAAGGTCATATGAGCGCTAGAAGATTAGAGGTGTTACAAGAGAGTAACAAACATAAAAAGAAGAAGGAGAGATAAGGACGATAGATGTTCGATAGGAAAGAAGAAGCAAGCCACACCATAGCACCTGTACCAACCACCCACATAAAATCTTCCCCATTCGAAAATTACCACTTACAGTACCAAATGCTCAAATAGTGAAAAACCCTCAAGTACCGTGCTAGTTTAGAATGCTGAAGCCATGATAAAAATTTTTTTAAAACTAAGACATAAACCTTCACAGCCCAAGAAACAAATTTTAAAATTCACAGAGGTTCATCCACCATTCAGCTATCATATAGGGTGACTTTCTTTGGCGCTTACTTCAGTGTAGTGGTTCCTTTCATTATTTAATTATATTTAGTGTGCCTGGTCGAGTCACCGACTAAAGTCTCCAGCGGTAATGAGCGCGTACTACGGCCTGGCGACTAAAGTTGCCGACGGTTCTGTAAGTGTTAAACCCACATCCATACCTCTCTACAGCAAAGAGCCTAACCATTAAACAACTGACACTGATATTTTTATTTTAATCCGTTTCGTTCATGCAACAAACTAGCCTCAGACACAGAAATGGGCACTGGTGTGCTTAAGACACAGAAAAGGGCACTGGTGTGCTTAAGACACAGAAAAGGGCACTGGTGTGCTTAAGACACAGAAATGGGCACTGGTGTGCTTAAGACACAGAAATGGGCACTGGTGTGCTTAAGACACAGAAATGGGCACTGGTATGCCAATGATGTTAAGTAAAAAGGCTTTATAACACAAAAAAGGGTACTTCTTGAAATGGAAGCAAAAAAAAAGAAAAGATAACAAACCTTTTTCTTTTACCTGGTAATAAAAGTAACCAAAATAACAGTTTTTAAAAATCTTAAGAAATAGAAGGAGCAAACCACTTCAGACAGATAACTTATACCCTCCAACCACCCCATCATATCCGAGACTACTGACCTGGGTGGTCAACTTGAGGCAACATGCTGACGTACTCCTTGTAGGAAGACAGCGGCCCGTCCTTGGGGATGTAGTACGTGGGCAGCATAGACACCCTGGAAAAACACAATGGAGAACACATTGCTTGACATTTGGTCGCTTTTAAGGACAAGCGGGCT